ATTTTATATGAATATTTAAAAAAACAATGTTTTCATCGTGTTTTAGGACATAAATTTGCATTTTATGGCATTATGTTGGTTTTGTTGATTATTAATTTTAGATATGTGACAATTTTTGCCTAATAATTGGGTGATAAATGTTCAAATATTACCGCACACTTCGAGTACAGTTAACATGAGGAGCTACATAACAATAATAATAGGAACTCACGTGTGTATATCTTTGTTCATGAAAGTAGCAGCAGAGTGAGACCTCCTGTCAGCGCTCTGCTCTCTGTCGTTGGGAGTTGATCACCGGGTCTCACCTGTTGGGTGAGTTTTTTCCCGTCCGTTTTTTTTCGATCTGTGAAACCAAGGCAAACACATAGTTTTAGTTGAGGGAAACAGAGATCTTCACAGAGCTTTTCCGTGATGTGACCGAGGACAACAGCAGACAGCAGGTCGGTGACACACAAACAGTGGGCTAATGTGGAGTTTGTGGAAAACAAAAAGTTGCTAAACTCATAATGGCTGTTTCAGATGTTGCATAACAAGATTTAGAAGCAGGAGCAAGTTTCCTTAAACAGCTGAGATAAGATTGTGAACAACAGCCGCGCGTTTTAGTGTGTCTGCGTGTGTGTGTGTGTGTGTAGCAGCCAAACAAATGACCGCGATAGAAAGAAAAAAAACAACTGAAAATGAGGTTTGAAGGAGTAGAGATCAGGTTATATATCTTTTTAAAACCATAAAGCAAATGGACATATGAGTCTTTTTTCCGCGTCATTTTGCGTCACTTACTTTTACGCTGTTGTCTTTTCTGAGAACTCGCAGGCAAAATGTGACTCTTAACCTCCGTGGTTCCCAGGTGGTGGGCGGGGTTCTCCAGGGGTCACGAGGTTTCCGGGGTAACACGGCAGCAGCATGGCTGAGGAATTTCACTAGTGATTTATTTTACATTCACACCACAGTGAAATAAATTGATTATAATAATTTCTTTGTCTAATAATATTATATTTTCAGGAAATGGGATGTTTTTTATGAGTTTGTTTATGTCAATAAAACAAAACTGAATTACGACTTTATAAGTGACAGTGTACCTCAGTTTTAGCGCATTTGACTGCACTTGAAGAGGTCCCTGGTTCAAATCCAAGTGTCCCCTGTCCCGTGTGTAGCATGCCTAAAGTGTGACCTTTGCACAGTAATTTATAGTACTTTATAAGTACAACAGCTGTTTTCTTTTTAATTATTCCACAACAGGATCTTTTAGAACTTTACTCATTTACTTACCAGACTAAAACCAACACAGATTAAGGTTAAGTTTAACACAACGCCCCAAGTTGACCTTTGGTGTCAATCCTACTTTGAACGACGTGTTTTTCCTTTAAATAAGTGTAGGGATAAGGAGTCGCAGTTTCTGTGCACAGTCAACAGTTACCAAAGTCACGTGACTCTCATCTAGACCTAACTCACGAGGGCAGAGTTTATTTCCTGTTCTACGTCTCGGTTAAACAAGAAGACAAACTAACTACATTCAAATAATTCATGTTTAACTCGACGTTGTCTCCCTCGGTTTTCTTTTTATTACGTTTTGTTAACACCATACAGACTGAGAGTACTTTAAAGTGCTGCAGAAGTACTTTAGAAGGAAAAATCCACAGAGACAGAGAGGGAGGTTTTGTTGTTGTAGTAAGGTGTGGTATATGATTGACCAGTAACTAAAAAAAAAAACAAAAACCCAAAGTCCACTCACTTGTATCAGTGTGTCATTATAGAGAAGGAATGCAGTCGTGTTTATTTAACAGAGCTTGACTTTGTCACTGATCAGAAGAGCAGACGAGGAGTTAATGTTTGTGTTAATGACTGACCTGAGATCATGAACTGACAGGAAATCACAGCGTGACGTTGGTTCTGTCTCTGTCTGTAAAGTTACAACACATATTTCTTGTTGTTAAACACCATTTCACACTATGGTACACACTAGATGGTACTGTGTATGTATTTGTTGGTGTCCCAACAGCTGAGTCATCATCGAGGTGAAGGTTTCTTCTTCTTCACCTTGAAATGATGCAGCACATTCACAGCTTATCACATTGTATTTATTTCATTAAAGACAATATTTAATTTCTTTAAAACTGCATGTTTGTGTAATGGATAGAAGTAATAAAAATACTGTAGTAATAATTGTTTTGTGCCTTTCATCTTAAATAACACACCTTAGTCAGAATCTATCAGATACTATAAGAACAGATGTTTGAAATACTGTTACAACCTTTTCCCCTCCTGTCATGTAGACATCAAGAAATATAATGGCACTCTGCTGACGACTGACACTGACAGGACAGCACTGACGATCTCAACTGGTACAAAATGTCTCTCCTGGGCGGATTAGTGTCGGAATTAATTATGGATGCTGCATTAACAACTGATGATGCAAATGCAGAGCCAAAAGCCGAAGGAAGTAAGAATCCCCCAAAACAGGAAAATGACCAGATAACAGATGAAGAGTATGAGGAGGAGGAGGAGGAGGAAGAAGAAGAGGAGGAGGAGGAGGAGATGTCCAGGTCTGCTCACCTGGAGCCAAGCACTTTACCATGGCCTGGAGACATAGTCAAGAAGCCTGAGATGGACAGTAGTGATGGAGCCTGGTCAGAAAAAGGAGTGTCAGAGGCTGAAGAGAGGGACACAGGGATCAGCCGAGGAAGTCTGGACCTGTCTGAGAAACGGAGTCGGACGAAGAGTGACAAGAAGAGCAAGGACAAGTGGAGAGAGAGCATGCCTGAAGGGGAGAGGTGGGAGGAGATGGAAGTGCACCAGGATGATAAAGGGGGAGGCTCGCAGGCAGACGATGAAGAGGAGGAGGATGACGATGAAATAGGTTCCACTTGGACGTCAGAGAAAACCTCTCTGGGCATCACTCCTCGAGTCACAATACTGCGTCAATCGTGCAAAAAGGTTCCCGAGGAGAGTCACGTCTTCATTGACAAGTACCCTGAGAAGGAAAGGCAGGTGGAACCCGACCTGCCGGTGCAGGACCAGCCACAGTGGACGGAGCAGGATGACAAGTACTGTAAGTACATGATTTCTAACGCAAAATATTTACTTATGAGAATGTTTGGGGGCATTTTATTGCATTTGGAGGCATTTTAGGACTTTTTCTTTTTCAGTTTTGACATTTCAAAATGTGTTTTTTTTCTTTTAAACCTCTAAGTTTTCATATCAAGGGTCTCGTACTAAATATAATAATTCTCTTTTTTGCAGACCTGTGCGATCATGCCTGTGGTGGAAAACTAGGGATGGGTTTGTCCTTGGCTGTTGCAGGGATTCTATTCCCTCTCATTGTGTGGGGGGGCTATGAACTGCTTCCATTTGACCTACCACTGGTGGACACTGCGCCCCTAAGGGTGATTTACACACTTCGCTGTGCCTTCTTCGCTATCATCCCGATCCTGCTGGGTAAGGCGCTTTTTTAGTAAGTCTCTAAAGTGTAAAAAAGTTTAAGTTTAGCTCTAAAGGTTTGTCAGACTTTGTGCAATTTATCAAAAAAGATAAGTAAAAATTAAACCTTAAATAAATGAAAATGAACTAAACTTGCATTTGGTAAAAAAAAAAATTACATTGGCTCTCTTCGTCCCACAGGTGTCCTGGTTCAGGGTGTGGCACGTCTGCGGTACAGTGAACTGAAGCCACTCTATCAAAACACAATGGTGAACAGGGAGGTTGCTGTACACTGGCACTTCGTCAACGAATCACTGGCACTCTTTATTTTTTACTTCATTCAACTGGCCGTCATGGCAACCTACGTCAGCCAGGACATGGTCAAACTGGTGCCACTGCTCACCATCATCTTTGTCTTTGGCAGGTAGGTTCTCGACGTTGAGTCATCAGTGCGGGCCTCCACAGTGGTTTCTTGCCCTTGACTGCACAGGTGTTAGTTAAATAACGAAAATAAATAAAAATTAGTAAATCTAAAAATGTTTAAAGTACAACAATGTGTAGCCTGAGCAGAGTGGTGCAACATGAAGTCAATGAACACGAGTGTAGTATTTACTGTATATTAAGGTTTGGTTTATTGTGTTTAAAGGAGCTACTGTACTTCCTGCTTTTCTGAATCAGACCACTGTAAAAACTGTTGCTTTTTCATATTTCTCGTGACATTTCCAAAACAATAATTAATAGGGCATGTAAATATGAGAGTAAAATGGAAACTGACCAGTGCTCTTCCCTGTGCTCCAGGCTGATCTACTGGCTCTGCCTCTCTCTGGGCAGCAGCATCAGGGCCTTTGGCTTCGGCTTCTCCTTCTTCCCAATAGTTGTGATGTTTGCAGCCAACATGTACTTCATTTGTTCATCGGTCGGACAAGAGGCGGTTTTTGACGTAGAACCACCTACAACAGCTCCTCCTCCCAGACAGAGGTTTTGGGGTTAAAAGAAGGATGAAGAACAAAGATTACGAGAGAGAAGAAAACAGAACAACTTAATGACAAAACCTGCAAGGCAAATTATTTTGACCTTTTTTTAATTAGTTACCCTGGTAATGTTTACTGTCGGGGACCAGTTTACAACTTAATAAATAAAAATGTGTAAGCTCTCCCTGAGCCGACCAGCTTCATTCTCTATTCTCAGTAGAACTCACGTTTGTCACGAAAGGTTGATGTTGTAAACAATTAAACTTCAATGTCTGAAGCCACATACTGTACCTGATGTTGGAGGGAACTCACACATGTTGTCAAAGGTCGAGGGTTGCAAAGAACAACAATTTATCTTTCGCTGTTCAAAATGTACAAGATGATTAAATCAAACGTGTAACTGTGTTATCTAAAAATAGTGACATCGAGGGCAACTGGACGGAAGACGTTCCACCTCTCATCCAAGAGGCTTCTTCAAGAGGTGGAACGTCTTCAAGAAACCTACTGCGTCCAGTTGCCCTCCATGTAACTAATTTAAGATGACCTGGATGACAGAGAACACAGACAAGTAACTGGGTTATGTGTTCAGAGCCAGAGCTGACAACATCTGGGTGTTGATGCATCATCAGTGGGCGTTGAGCTGTAAGGCAATTTAATCACATCTAAATCGGGCAGCGGTGTTATCACCACGGCCACTAGCAATGCATGCAAATAACCTTTACTGTTGGGTGAATTCATTTTCTTACAAATTAAGCGCCTTTAAAGCATAAGAAATTGACAAAATTGTTTTTCAGCGTCCGGGAAGAAAACCAAAGCACACCATAGATGACTTCACTCAATTTGTCTATTTAATATATAAAATACGGTAAAACATACGCAAAAAAGGATAAGGTTTCAAGGGACTTGGATACTTTGGTACAACAAACACTTTTTGTAAAAGCGGTATAGAATTTCAATAACATATCAGTGCATACTTTGTATATGAAAATATACACAAATTGTATATCATTCTCAAAAAACAACAAAAAAGAAATATTTTCTTTACAACAAAAACCCGAAAAGCAGACTAGCTCAACACAATATATTAGCTATAAATTTCATCTTTAGTATTTCATATGCTACATTATTCTGAGTTGTTTCAGAACTCATTTGTGATGCATGACCTTTATCATTACGGCAAGTAACATAACGTTTGTTGTCACCCATGCATTTACAATTTTCAAATTTCATGAATTACTAATTTCTGCTGTTTCCCGTTTTTGCTTTTTTTTTTAATAAATATATTCTATATTTGAATTACAATTGCAGCATGTAACTGGTGTTTCCTTCCTTCATTGCATTTGCTAAAACCACAACAACTGATCGTGCAATTGTCAGCGAGGTGTTTCCAAAAAGGAACCCAGTACTATATGTCTATGATAAGGTGAAGTAATAAAGAGAGAACGAGAGAGAGCGCGCGAGAGAGAGAAAGAGAGAAATGTAAAAACAGTTGGCTATTCTACACAAAATAGCAATAAAATAAAAGCTCCATCATAATATCAATAGAATAATTAGACAATGGAACTGTCACCAGCACAAATTAATCCAAAAATAGTGAGATTCTAAAAAACATTGTACACAACAAGAAACAGGGTGCAGGTTTTTCCGTTCACTTCTCATATATAGATTGTCTGATGACTACACTGCTGGATCGGCCACAGAACCCTATTGTACAGGAACAAACCTGCCGCAGGCAGAACTCAGAGCCCGTCAGTGTGGTGTCACATTTCAGTCCACAGTCGACGCCCACAAACACACAAAAGTATTACTTTAAAGAGAAATCCACGTCCGTAAAAAGGACTGAGCTAACGTCGGTCAGGAGGCTGGTGCCAGTCGAGGTTAATCCTTGGAACATTAGAAAATGCTGAATTTCCCAAAGGAAACTCCTATTGGATCAATTAAGTTCTCTCAATCTGTCAATCAATCAATGCCAAGTTTGATGAGAAGATACTTAGTTCCTAAAGCTGCAGAAAGTATTAAACATGTTTTACCTTTGTGCTTAAAAACTGATCCACATGGATTTTCAAGACTATTGAGAGACGCCATAGTTTCAATTCCTGAAGTCAAGAAGCCAGTTGGACTTTCTTCAACCTCTGATGAGAGACTTTTGCTAAAGAGGCTTCTTCAGAATTTGCCTCCCTAGAGGCTGTCTCAGGTCAGTGTTGGACAGTGATTCACTGGTCAGACACAAGAGCATCTTCAACAACAGACTATTCCACCAAGGTGAACCAAAGAGCACCACAGTAAATCATTCCTGCCTCTGGCCATCAGACTCTTTAACTCTGGCCCCTGTGTGTTAGTGACGCTACAACTAGCACAGTAAATTGAAACAAGTGTGTAAATGTGCTAAACAGCACATGTGCGGAAAAACCTAAATATTTCTATATTTCCTATAAATAAGTATACTTCTCCTCTTTCAGAGATGCTCCTACAGGAGCAGCTGCAACACAAACTACTTCCTCCAGGGGTTCAAGTTAGTATATCTGATTCTCACCTATGAAACCTCATCAAACTGGGCCACAGCATTAAACCCACCGTTAAACAAAGAGCTCTTATTCAAATTTAAATCAGTTGATGTCATCAACTTTCTCATGGTGAATTCACATAAATGACTACAGCTGCCAGCCCCCTTCTGGCAACACTTGGTACAGCATTTCTAGGAGCCCTTTTTATTTTTTTCCACATATTTCCAGTCACTGTTTCATTCCAACTGAAGGTAGGTTTGAAGGTGATACTGTGACCGAATGTTAACAGAACCTCAATGTAAGTGCATTTCTGTCAAGAGTTAAAATGCTGACGTTCAAGCTCAACATGAAAAAAAAACAAAAAAACACAGACTTTTCTAAATCTGTGATATCTTCTCATCAAACTCTGGTGGGGAAAGTCCATTTACAAAAGTGTCATTTTCATAATTCAGAGTGAAACAAGGACCTAGACATTAGTCAAACAGAACAGCTTCACACCACACTGTGGACGCAGAGGAGGACAACGCAGCAGATCCTGACAAAAACAGCCCAGAACTCTGATGTTAAACCTGTGTCTGTTTGTGAAAAGTCCTACAGCACTGTGATTTTTTTTTTTTCCCCAAACACAAAACTCACACTTTTAAAGAGTACTCATGATAAAAGCAGGCGCCTCACCCACTCAGACCTTAAGTGTAGCATTGCTTTAAGTAGAGAATCAACAGTCAACAAACATCAGCTGACACACCAGGCTGCACTAAGAGCATCGAGAGACTTTTTCTGTTTCTAGGCATAAACAACCGGTGTACACACACACACACACAAACGTACACACACACACCCTTAACTCACACACAAACCTGAAATGGTTTGGACAAAAACAATGAAACCACAAACGAACACAGCACTTGTGAGCCAATCGCTTAAAAAAAAAAAGGTGTAAAAGTAAAAGGCATGAACTGTTTTTTTGATGTGGGACACATGTAACAGAGCTCTGTCAGTCATGTGAGTGCATCTTCTCCGAGTTCAATAGAAGTGAATGGCAGTGCTGTAATGTTGTGATGAGCGTATAAAGTGAGGGTGTCCACTCAAGTGTTGGGAGAATATAATGACACCACAACCAAGCAGGTCTCTGTGAGTCAGAGACAGAAAAGTCAACACAAGCATAAAGTAGTTTTCACTGAAACAAGTCTGATCCAACAGCACCGCCAAATGTGGCATGTTAAAACCCCTGCACCGTAGTTCAGAAACATATCAAATTCACACACTCGTACGTATATGCAAACAGATCCACTGAGAGTCAACACATTGCTTGTTTTTAGGGATACCTAGCATAGTCTATGCAAATATATTCATATGTACATACGCGTGGTTGAAGCTGAAAAGCTATTGTTACTTTGTCATCGACATGAAGCCGTAGAAATAATCTGATTCTCACCTATGAAACCTCATCAAACTGGGCCACAGCATTAAACCCACCGTTAAACAAAGAGCTCTTATTCAAATTTAAATCAGTTGATGTCATCAACTTTCTCATGGTGAATTCACATAAATGACTACAGCTGCCAGCCCCCTTCTGGCAACACTTGGTACAGCATTTCTAGGAGCCCTTTTTATTTTTTTCCACATATTTCCAGTCACTGTTTCATTCCAACTGAAGGTAGGTTTGAAGGTGATACTGTGACCGAATGTTAACAGAACCTCAATGTAAGTGCATTTCTGTCAAGAGTTAAAATGCTGACGTTCAAGCTCAACATGAAAAAAAAAACAAAAAAACACAGACTTTTCTAAATCTGTGATATCTTCTCATCAAACTCTGGTGGGGAAAGTCCATTTACAAAAGTGTCATTTTCATAATTCAGAGTGAAACAAGGACCTAGACATTAGTCAAACAGAACAGCTTCACACCACACTGTGGACGCAGAGGAGGACAACGCAGCAGATCCTGACAAAAACAGCCCAGAACTCTGATGTTAAACCTGTGTCTGTTTGTGAAAAGTCCTACAGCACTGTGATTTTTTTTTTTTCCCCAAACACAAAACTCACACTTTTAAAGAGTACTCATGATAAAAGCAGGCGCCTCACCCACTCAGACCTTAAGTGTAGCATTGCTTTAAGTAGAGAATCAACAGTCAACAAACATCAGCTGACACACCAGGCTGCACTAAGAGCATCGAGAGACTTTTTCTGTTTCTAGGCATAAACAACCGGTGTACACACACACACACACACAAACGTACACACACACACCCTTAACTCACACACAAACCTGAAATGGTTTGGACAAAAACAATGAAACCACAAACGAACACAGCACTTGTGAGCCAATCGCTTAAAAAAAAAAAGGTGTAAAAGTAAAAGGCATGAACTGTTTTTTTGATGTGGGACACATGTAACAGAGCTCTGTCAGTCATGTGAGTGCATCTTCTCCGAGTTCAATAGAAGTGAATGGCAGTGCTGTAATGTTGTGATGAGCGTATAAAGTGAGGGTGTCCACTCAAGTGTTGGGAGAATATAATGACACCACAACCAAGCAGGTCTCTGTGAGTCAGAGACAGAAAAGTCAACACAAGCATAAAGTAGTTTTCACTGAAACAAGTCTGATCCAACAGCACCGCCAAATGTGGCATGTTAAAACCCCTGCACCGTAGTTCAGAAACATATCAAATTCACACACTCGTACGTATATGCAAACAGATCCACTGAGAGTCAACACATTGCTTGTTTTTAGGGATACCTAGCATAGTCTATGCAAATATATTCATATGTACATACGCGTGGTTGAAGCTGAAAAGCTATTGTTACTTTGTCATCGACATGAAGCCGTAGAAATATAGAAAATGTCTTATTTCCTTTCACTTTTTGAAACACGGCAAAGAGCTAAAGGTGTGAGAGAGAGAGAGAGAGAGAGTGAGAGAGAGAGAGAGATAAAGGACATCAAAGCTCTTGTATAAGGAGTGATTTTTTTTTCTTTTTCCTTTCTACACAAAGTCAGAGTTCCTACTTCTGGACGACTAACAGACCTTCAAAACAGATTCGTTTAAATACCAACAGATAAAGAACACTTGGACTGAAAGAACCAAATACTTCTCTACCTTTAATAAAAAGCCAGCACAGGCTCCAAAAACTCACATCACTACAATTTTTTTTTTTTTTTTAATGGATGGCGTCTACTCCTGGTTATAAAGTCCAATGAGAGGCTGCGTTTCTGCTGCAGCGATTTTCCACTCAAATTCCAGAGGAGATGAGGTGAGAGGACGGGAGTCTGAGGAGGCGAGTGACGGCAAATGTAATGTCTTAGATGAGGTGAGGAGGACGAGGAGGAGGAGGAGACTGATGACAGCTTCACTGTCTAAAAAGCAGAGACAGTTCATGGGCTGTGCCAGTTTTTCATGAGTGACCATTTGTCAGTGTCCCTGCTTGGGTCTGAGAGGCATTTGGCATTTTTTTTGTCATCTAAAAGAGAGGTTGATATTGGCACTCTGGCAAAGTGCCATAGCTGCAGAGTGCCACAAGAGGGCTCAGGGCCTGTTGAGGCTGGTTCTCTAACACAGAGAGAGAACCTGTTTAAGTCTAAAGTTTAATTAGTGTCTCCATCCTCAAATGGGTTCACATAAAAACTAATTTCCAATAGTGCAGTTTGGTAGAAGGGGCAACACACTGTCCAGGTGGATAATGAAGAGCAGGAAGTGGCCAGTCATACAGCACAAGTCCAATAACATGAACAAGCCACCGATCCCTTAGGAGTAAATACATGAAGCTAATGCAGAAACTATGTGAAAAGAGGGATTTTTTTTTCATGATTTTGTTGTTTCTATCAGGAGAAATTACAATTCTGGAGTCCATTCAAGCAAGAAGGCTTTAAAGTCTAAAGTCTACTGTCTCTCAAAGGCAGGGGATTAAATATCCAGGCGAGCACTAACGCCATTCTCTCCTCAGTACGATCCTACAAAGATTTTCTTTATTAAGTCAATTTTATTTTAACAAGTCTAAGTGACGCTTAGTTGTGTTTCTTTGTGAACCGAGGACGATGGAGGATAATAGTGTCACGTGGCAGTGTGGGTTGGGGCAGTGGGGGTTTTAAAGATGACCTGGGGTGTGTTGTGTGTCTAAAGTGTCACCATAACTTCCAGAGGTTGTGGGGAGCAGTGGGCTGGTGCTGGTGCCTCTATGTGACCCAGGCGTCCAATCTCATACGCTTTATGTTTCCTCCCTCCTGCTCTGAATCGCCTGATGCCCTCAGGAGCTCAACTGAAGGGCTGTAGTCAGGGGGCACAGATCTGGCTGCAGAACCAGGGGCTCCAGCTCCACCACCACTGCCGCCGCCACCTCCTCCTCCACCACCACCACCACCGCCACCTCCTGCAGTACCCGTGTCATCCCGATCGCTCCCTTCAAAAGAGCTGGCGTTACTGCTCACACTGTCTGCAGGCGAGCGACCGGTCGGCAGCTCCAGACAGAGCAGAGAGCTCGGGTACTGTGGTGGGGCGGTCAGGATGGATCCTCCTGAAGTTGAGGACGGCGTTGTGGAGGAAGGCGCGGGAGGAAGGGGGGTGCTGCGATCCCGGCCAGGCGAGACGGGCTCAGATTTGATGCTCACACCAGAGTTTGTGTTGACAGTCAGCATGGCACCTTGAGGTAACTGAGTCACCGGCCTGAGAACAAAACCATGAAGAAAAGGAAGAAACATTTATCTTTTATATGTGTGGAAAATTATGGCAGAAAACAATCACACACACAAAAAAAAAAAATCAGCCATCGACTAAAGTATCAAAGAAGCAGTAAAGCCACTTGTGTCAAGACAAAATAAATCCACATTACGAGGCACAGCACCCACAGGGAAAAGCCACAGTCAATAATTCAACAGTCCAATCACTTCTGATCCTTTTCAAAGCAGAACTAACATCCTCCTCCTTACTGCTCCCTAAAGAACAACAGAAAAGCCCAGGAAGCATGAAATGATTTGTGTGACATCGTGACTCAGCCATGACGTGAAAAAAAAAAAATACAAATGATAAACACAAAAATCTTAATCTCAGGTTAGAGAACATGGAGGAAACCGGAACTCAGTCTCTTTCCTGTTTGACTGCAGACAGCACGGCACATGCTTCGAGGCAGCCAGCCAAAAGCACACAGACACACAGGAAAAAGGAAGTGTGATACAGTACCGGCCCAACCACTCATCTCTACCCAAGAGCAGGTTGGACGGAGAGCCAACACTGTAGGGAGGAGAAAATAATGTTGGAGCCAAAAATCAAAGAGGAAGAAGTGGATTAGGAGGCATGTGAGGAGAAAAGTGTGAGAAACATTATTGCATGAAAAAGTGTCTTCAAAAAGAGCAATAATGTTCATGACTTGCAATCAGAAACAAAGACAGACTGATCTGCTCAGAGGTAGTTCCTATTCGACTTTAAAGGGACAGACACAAAACTGGTCTTAAGTCAACCAGGGTCAGAAGACCAACATTAGTTGTAGGAATAAAATTATTATTAAAAATGCTCGACGTGTTTTTGTGAAAAGAAAATAACATTTTTAGATGCAAGAGATGCTCATCTTTTTACACCAAAGTCCAAAGAAGTAATTTTACTTCATTAAAGACAGAGGTTGTTGATCTGCTCCTGTATCACTTATAAAAGTACAAGTTTCACTATGATTATTTTTCAATCCTGGTGCACTGTTTTCACCTCAAATCTGCTCTACCTGTTGTCTGAACTCACTGGAAGCCATGTTATCAGTGACAGGATTAATGTCTCAGACTGGCTCTAAGATTCGATTCCCACATTTTCATTATTCATGCTTGATTCAGGTCATGAATAAACAATCTGCTACAGCGAGAAGAAATAAATTTAACCTTCAATTTCTTGGCTCATGCTCCGATCTTCTCCAGTGTTAATACAAGCCTGGAGTTAAAGTGAGAATGAAAAGGTCTGCTTTATCTTCAGTTCCTGTGTTGATGGTGAATTTATCTGAGACCCTTTAGTTTTTGCCTTAAAATATGTGCACGTTTTATATCTTGCTTAGGTAAGTGAGATCAGCAGACAGGGTTTTCCTGAATATTACCTTTAAGTACTCTTACAGTGATAGGTGGAGACAAAATACCTAGTGCTGAAAGTAGATAGTACTACAAATACTGAAAAACAAAGTAGCGAAGTAACAAAGCAACCACAAGCAGCTGAAACTATTTTAATGGTGTTAAAATCCCTGCCGATATTAGTAATACACTGCCAATTCTGTGAATTCCACAGTATCTCTTCAACTATGTTATTTTCTACCGACAAATACGGCGTGAATTATAAGTACTGCTATCTGTTAGGTGTTACTTTTCTCAGTAAACATAGTGTACGGTGTCCCACAAGGATTAAAAAAAAAGAAAAGAAGTAAAAGCAAAAGCACAAACATCTAGGACAAGCTTCTCTGTGACAACACAGAGTCTAGTGCGGTTTCTAATTTAGGTGTGCATTAGTCTTGTTTGTGCTGATTGTAGCATTTACAGTAGTTCATGTTTTTACAGTGTTGAGCTCTTCCTCAGGCATGTGTTTGCTCCTCAGAGGCCAGCTGGTTTTAGCATGTTAGAAAACTGCAGTGTAGTGAGAATAAAGTAGGAAAATAAACTGTCAACTAGGAATTAAATAGTTACACACACACACACACAGATACAGTAGATAACAGTGTTTGTCTTGGAGATAAATAATGTTACTCCCCTTTTTATGCTTTAGCAAAATGTTATAAAATGTCCATAAAGTAAAGTAAAATATTGACATTATAATTTATTAAATATAAATAGTTGTCAAGTTTATAAAAATGTTAATTTATTCCTAACTTACATGTGATAAAGTGTCAACTGAGGAAATAAATAACATTTTCTCCATATGTTTTAATTAGATCTAAACCTAAGATCTAGACCTAAATATTTTTAGCTGAGAACTAAAACAGGCAGTGTAGCTAACAGTGTGTCGATCTTACACAGACTGCTGGACAAAGCAGCGTACTACCCCCGCCCACAGACAACTTCATGACATGTCACAAACGAACAAACACACTAGCAGTGGCTGTTCACCTCAGATTGGCAGCCAGACTGGACACCTGGCTAGACAGCTCGCTGCTCTGTTTGTCCACACCCCACATGCTGTGGACAAGAGGAGAGATGACACTTGAAGGATGTGGTGTTCAAACCACCAAAACCCAAACAGAACTTGTTTCCAGTTTGACAAATATTCCTAAATTAAGGTTACCATTTGTTTCATATTTTAATTTAGATGAATTTGAGAAATTACTTTTCACAAGATCATTTGTTAATTTGGACAGTCCTTCCCTGAATAAAAGTAAGTACTGTTATCACCTGGGAATTTGAAATGCAACAACCTAATTTTACTGTAAATGTTAGACCTAATTTTAAGACAAGATTAATTTCTAAGCTCTTAAAAAACATTATCGGACATGTGTAACGTCACCTGTTAAATGTTTAAAGTTCAAACGTTCATTGCTTCTGACTTGATTTGTTTGTTTTTCTGTTTTTCCTCTGTTTTTCTTCGACTCCTTAAGTCTCTCCTCTGTGAGAAGACAGACTTAAACACTATGTGCTGCTGAGGTCCATTAATGGCAGAACACTGAGTCATGTTCAGATTGATGTTATGAGGATGCTGAGATGGTGGTGAGAGATCGAGTCACTAAGGAGAGGAATGTGATTTTCTTGCATGATATGAAAATCATGCAAGCTGCCTGGGAGGCTCAGTGATTAAGTATTTCAGCAGATAGAAAGAGAGAAAAAAATCCCTGAAAGTTTAGCACAGCGGAGATGCCTCCAACATCACCAGTTTTGAAAAAAATATATAAATAAACCACCGACTAGAAAACGAAGGCAGGACTTACACTAAGTTACTGAGTGATGCAAGACTGAACTGCTGCTGCTGCTGCTGTTGTTGCTGTTGCTGGGATTGCTGGGTTACAGCTTGCTGCTGTTGCCATGAGGACACGCTAGTTGACAACAGGGCACCAGGTGAAGCCAGAGCATGTATAGCAGTGATATCTGCACTGGTCAGCTGGTACTCTGAAACAAGATGAAGGATCGAATAAGTCAAACAATACTTCAAATTCTACTTTCTAAATCAGACATGTTTATACTACTTATTATATACTACTATACACTTATTTTAAATCTTGTACTCCAAAACATGCATCCAGTGACCTGCTACTTTGTAACGGGAGATGAAGACAGGAGTGACTTTTAAGATCACCTGTGTTGTATGCAGTGGGCATGGCAGAGAAGGGCAGCCCCTGAGCCAAGAGGCTTGGTGTGGCTACAGAGACCACTGGTGTGGTGAGGGACTGCGCCACCTGGGCTCCAGCTGCCAGCCTCTGGGCATTCTGTCGGAGAAGAACAACAACATGTCAGTTCCATCAGGTTCAAGGTTGGGCAAAATTAACTCTGTAGGCAAAAGCCAAAATGCCCTTTTTTTCCCAACGTGAAAACTCCAGCATGCTGTGAAATGACAATGTGGCTGAAACCATTATGACATACTGTCACGGTCAACGTCAGAACCAAACAGCTTTACTCTTGGGTTCCTAGAGACATGCATCAAAAGCAGTTGGTTTAATGGATCATAGTACTTCAGATTACATTAAAGGCAAAGCACTTGGGTTTTTGATTTGGTTTATTACTTATTCATGATTTCTAAACAGCATTTGCACTTACTACAATTAATATTAACATAACATTTAACAATATTTACATTTTAATAATGCCTTTATTTACAGTTGTTTTTTATTTTACAGATTGACATTAGTGATATTTTGTGATTTCTTTTTTAGAGCAGGGTCTGTCTAATGTGGAGCCAATCACATTGTGGTCAAACCTGGCACCCTAACTGTGTTTCTACATTAGAGCAGATATTTAATAAAAAAAACTAGACAGTATTTCTCAGACAGAGCTGCAGCAGACAGACTGCTTGATCTGTGAGGATGCTGCTATGAGGTTTTATTACGACAGTGCTGTTCTGAAGGACACAAATCTCTGAAGGAGCACAACACACCAGAGCCTGTGTGGCTGAGTTATGCCAAAGATAAAAGCAGGCTGTGGTTCTCTGCCGCAGGCAAGAAGACAATACATCTGTATATAAAAGGCCAAAAATGCAATAATTCTGGGGTGGAATTATGGTTATATATTGTGAGGCTAATCATCCAGGGAGGAAACATTCCAGCAGAGTTATGAGTGTTGTGCTACACTGAGGGGCGGGGGGTTGGACAGGATAGACGAACCAGTAGTATGGAGAAGTAGGGAGGATGGAAGTGCTCAAAATGAATCACCATCCTGTGGAAAATGAGATTCCTGCCTGACAAGTTAAAAAGATAATCAGCAGCAAACAGCGGTCAGAAACCACTGTTGTCTTACTGACAAATTTAAACACTAAAAAGAAGTGCAGTCAACCGGAAAATTGTGTAATTTAATTCTGCTGTGACTTTATTATTTTGGGTGTGAATAATGGTATTCCCCACATGACACATTCACTTTAAGCTATTCTTACATTTTAAAGCACCATATTGAGGTAATTTCAATAAGAAAAACAACAGAATTAAATCCAAACTGTATTAGTTATCACCAGATAAAACCCAATAGGGATTCATATGAAAACAATCTAACAGGATGCTTTAAGTTTTACTACTATTTTAACAATGTATTCTAAATAAATTGAGAATAAACATATTTCATGGGAAACCATCATAGTTTAATAAATACTACATTGCTGTGCTTGATGCCTTTAATGTAATTCAGTTATTTTCATAAGAACATCTCTGAGGGAACTTCCACATGAAACATAAAAAAGGTTTGAGTCACTGGTTGTATGTATATGTGTGTAGAGTATTTCCATCTCAGCAGCTCTGTGTAGAGAAAAAACTGTCATTTTTCATACAGTTCTGTCAAATTGTTTTTTTAGGGTCAAGTTTAAATTAGATTATTGGACATAAAACAAGTACATTATTAAATATAACAAGCACCAACAAATGACACTTTATGTGCACTCAAGTCTCTGCTCCAATATTTTTACATTAATAAAAAAAGACTATATAATTAGTAGTGGGGAGACAAGGGAGGGGTGAAGAAAAATTATATAATTAGTAGTGGGGAGACAAGGGGGGGTGAAGAAAAATTATATATCTTTAAAGGAGAGTGTTAATATTGGTTAGTCTTAATTTACCCTCACAAGTTTTACTTCAGATATGTTGTCAAAAATACATATATATTTATAAAAGTTGACGGGAGTGAGTTTCTTTTTTCATCTTGATGCAGGTAGTAGGGAATGCAACCACTTTTCATGTGACTTGGACTGAGAGACATGCACTTCAGAAGATGTTTCATGTGGACGGTCCCTGATTATTATTGTATAAGGTGAGAATGGGAGAAAGTTGCTGTGAGGGTCAGTGGACAGAGAACAGCACCAGGCCAAATGAAAATAGGACACTCATGCTTCGAGTGACTTGGTGGATGAAGATGGTCCTTGTTGAGAACTGATCAGAGCACTCAAGGAAAAGTAGTCTAGTGATCACTGTGAATGTTGATAACCATACAGACTTTTTGACATTTTCACTGATCAAAATCCTAAAATCATAAATTTAAAAAGGAAAATGGAATAACCATGAGTTCTGAACAACATGCAGTCAGGCTAAAACCACAAACTGTTGACTATTTTATTATGTCAGTGGACCAAAACTAACAACAATGACAAGCTCTTGTGCAGAACTATATTCATGCTAATAATGTGTGGACAGCCGATAATCATCGACTCATGCGACTGACTGACGTGGCGGAAAATCACCTCATTTACCAATTCCAGCTCCTCCTCTGTCTGCAAAAGGTGGTAACAGAGAGGGTTACAGCTCTGACTCTGGTCGACCAAAGTCATTATAAAGTTAGAAAAACAGCAAAAAAAAAAAAACTTACTTAGAGTCATTCCACCAGCTTAGAACTTTGTTTAGCAGAATTTACAGAGAAATAAATCTGTGAAACCTGATAAATGAGTGGGACTGTGTCAGAGAAGATTCAATGCTGTCACTCAGCCTGTTTACATTTAACGCGGATCACCCCAATGTTAATAGTCTTCAGTTTCTCAGTAGCTTTTAATCTTATCGCAAAATGTTCCCAGGCAGTTTTCGTCTGTGTCTAAGATCAAAAATGATCTTTGATCCCTGTTCTTAAATAATATTTGGCTCTGTAGCTGCCAAATAATAATTTCCTACGGGGTCATCTTGCAAGTGACACCTTTTTTATATTCTCAGTCATGTGTGAGAGAAGCTATATGATTAAATCAGCTTTTGAAGTTCCTAAGAAAATAGGAATTTTAGTCCATAACAAGGCAAACTCTGAGGCTAAAGGAAGACAGTGTGATATCATTAAAACCGCTAATGATTCTGTTTTGCGGCGGCTACCACTTCCAACGTCAAGACTGAAGCGGCAACTGGGTTTTACGCTAATTATATTGTCAAACAGGGGCTTTATGCCGAATTTGGTGTGTTTTTACCACAAAGATTGTAGAATGAGTCATGGTCTACAATGGAAAATACCTCAGTGAGACAGTCATTCATTAACCCCATATAAGATCAATTTTAAAATGAGTAATGAGCGACTACTTTAAGTATTCATTTTTTTAACATCAATCCAGATTATTTTACAAAATTAACTCCATGATTTAAAAATTGTGTTTGGCCAACTTCCTACATGTATTCCTCTGCTTTTCATGCTAATCCTTGATGATATCTTTCCTATTTAAGGGGTTCATTTTACACCTTTTTAGGGTTAATAAGAAGTGGAATAATTTTCAATTGTGGGTCAGAATAATAACTAAAATGCTCCAACAAAGCATGGTTAGGCTCACCATCTGCATGAGGCTCTTTCCACCCTGTGAGGTGATAACTCGGAGGTCTGGCTTGCGGCTGTTGACCATCTGGGGGCTGGGAGGTGGAGGTGGAGACTTGGCTGGAACTACTTTTCCCAAACTGTTGCCGTTGGAAACAGTGAGGAGGCCTGGGGAGGCCCTGGCACTGGTGTATCCATTAGCTGTAGGGGAAACAGAGGTGTGAATGGACAGAAATCATTAAGGGAAATCGAACAGGTGAATGCAGACAGTGGGGCGCAGGCACTGAGTGCACTCAGAAAATTGTTTTCAAGTGTAAAATTTAGGCAGAACTACTTCTACTAATTCACTGCTGATGTTACGGCGGCAAACTGAACGGCTGTAGAGAAGAACCTTGGAAATACAAACCAGACAACTGAAAAGCCTTGGTGATGAAAAGGGAAAGACTACAAAAAAAAAATCAGTTTCAATACAAATGAAAAAGAACTCACGGACAGGACTTGGGCATCCGCCATTTGAATTATTCAGGTCTCCGCCAAGAAGGGCCCCTGTTTATATAAGAATTAATAATAAAGAAAAATATAAATTAAGGAAATGATCATGACAAGTCATTAACAATTGTTTTTATATTTTTTGTAGTTATGGAGTAATGAGATGTGACACTTTTTCATACCAATTGAAATGGATTGTAAGGTAAGGTATCTAGTTTTTCAAATCTTATTTTATACAAAAAAAAAAAAAAAAGCTGGAGATTTAGAACATAAATCCTTTAGTAAAAAGTCCTCAATGTAACTATTCAAGTAAGAGGCAGAAGTTAAAAAGGCAGTGTCAAGATAAATGACTAAATAATGATTATTTTCAACAAGTGAATTTTCTCAAGAGGACTTGAATGAAGCCACTAACCACTGAGTGTCCCTCACCTGCACTCGCTGGTCGCTGTGGTAACCCAGGAGACACGGTATTTCTCTGAAGAGCTGGTTGCTGTGGTGACAGGAGGTGGGAATCGGTGAGCGGCGATGATGTTACATAGGAGGTAGTTACCAGTGCGTTGCCAGGGTTACTGAATTGCAGTGTGCTTTGACTGGACGCCTGGACGGTGACTGGCATGGAGAAGGTCTGGGGAGGAGCTGTTGACTGCTACAAAGAGGGGGGAAAAGAGCTTTGTGATTCTGAGAAGGGACTGAGGTTGCATAGTTCTGTACATTCACAAACATTACACAACATCAAAACTGATCTCTGTAACAGTGGGGTCTCAAAAAAAAAAAAAAAATTACAAGGACCGAGTAAGAACCTTGTCAGGACAAAGGGATGGACACAGCAAAATCAAACAATAAGTAAATAAAGAACATCTCTCTAAATCTATTTAAGTATTAACATAATCACCTCGTGAGGATTGAGGAACCTTTTTTTTAAGCTTTCATTAAAATTTCTCTCAAGCAGAGTGGATCATATCTACAGTTTTTCTGCTCATGCTGTTTACCACGTGTTACGTTATATCAGACTAAACACATCACACTAAGGGTAAGCAATTTTTACACAAACGATTTTTAAAACAGAACACCAAACAAGAAGCAACCGCAAATAAGGAAAAAAGAATATGTGCCCTTAAGATAAGAAATATTCCCCTGAGATGCACCAGACCTTCTGCAAAGCACACACTGAAAAAATGTGAAGACAACAGAGGAACTTCACATCAGTAGCTGTTTCCTGTAGACACACTGAAGCCAAACAGAGGACGATTACAGACAAATGTTTGAACAGCATACAGTGAAGAAAAGCAGAACAAGAAACATACTGCGTGTGTGTTTTTGAAAACGTTACTCCTAACACTTTGTGTTTAAAAAGGGTTAGGGTTAGATTTAAGATTTAAAGTTCATTAGATGCATTTTCAAAGAACAGACCATAGTCCACGGTTCTTAAAATAAATGCTTTTTTTCATCATTTGGCGATGATTGTGAACTTTAAATACCTACAACAACAAAAGCAACAATACAGAAGAGAAAGTAAAGATGAGTCAGGATTTGCTCAAGAAATTAGATGAACGAAAGAATGGCAGCAGGGATTTTGAAAAAAAAAAATCACATACAAAATAATAATGAAAAAGACTTTCATGTGATAATCTGTAAATATTTGTGCAAAGCATCCTTCACAGGTAGTGCATTTAATCGGAAAGTGCTACACAAGGCACCAACAAACTAAAGCTGACCACAAAGATCAAAGTTAACCTTTGCACAGGCTCTGAAATGACAACTACTGCTGCTTTTAAAATTACAGGTAGAGTCGGAGACGCTGGTGTTCCAGCTATGACAAACACTTCACAGTACAAAACCAGTTAGAACATTAACCGTCAAATGCAGGTTTGATGACTTACTCCATAGCGTTTGAAGAGAACATCCAGATCCTCTGTGGTCTTTCGGTACTTGTCATCATTCAGGGGACTCTGGTCGATGGAGTCTTCACCGTCAGGCTCTGGACTGTCACAACCGTTGAAGCCTTTCTTTCTCAAAGTCTATAAAAGCAGTTTGGAAATAAAACAGTCTTTAAAACATTCCACTCTTTTGGTAAAACTGGGAAATTAAACATAATTATGGTACAAACTAGGAACAGTATTTTATGGTTTTTTATACTAAGATTGTGATGGATTTAAAGATAATAAAAGAGTGAAAGAGTAAACTCAGTTTAAAATAGCTACATCCAAGTTAACTTATAATAAAAACATTATGGCCATTTTGCAGGTGCCTGCTGCATATTTGTGAACCCGCCCAACAATATTGAGAAGAGTAAGCTGTATAAAAGCAGAAAGAGCGGAAATGTGTGTAATTACTAAAATGCATTCAGTGGACATGAAACTGCACGCTAAAGAAACAAGCACCAATTGACTCAAGAGTTTCAGAACACTAGCTTTATGTTCCACTGTCTTCATGATGACTTAGCAAATTTAAAAACGCCTAAAGTTACCTTCTTTATTAAAGTGTCTTTAATATTAATAATATTATATGCTAAGAAGACCTCAAGCTTTAATAAAAGCTTGTTAAAATTCTCTGCAGCACCACACGGCATCCTTTTTTGCTGATATTGTTTTAATTTTAACTTTAACCTTAATGGAGCATTTCTAAGAGAGAAATAAATGGCAGCCTTTTGTCATAACAATTAAAGAATATTTTAGGCATTTGTTAACAAAAATATAAAGTGCTTCCTCACTCAGCAGTGAGTGGACAAATTTAAATAAGTATTGAACTTTACCTCAATGATATCTGCATTAGTCCGGCTCTCATGAGGCTCATTGTACTCTGTGTACTTGAGTAAGACCTTGTCCATATCAGTGCTGGCATACTGGAACAGCTTGTTGGCATGGTTGAAGATGATCAGAGCAATCTCGCAGTCACACAGCACACTCAGCTCATAGGCTTTCTTCATCAAGCCAAACTTTCGCTTTGTAAAAGTCACCTGAGGATAGAGAGACGAGGAAGATGGAGAGGAAAAAACAAGCAAACTTGTGAGTTTTGGTTTTATGAACTGAAAGTATTTGTAAATGCTACGACTGTGTGTTGTGCATTGCAGAAAACAGTATTTATACAGTCAGAACATCGGGTTGTCGTTTTTTAAATTATGACACCAGTGTTGCCAGATTAACTGTTTGGTTTTTTTTTAAACACAAAATTGGATTAAGGGTAAAAATCAAAACCACGTTAAAAATTAAAGAGCAGAAAGAATGTGACAGTCTGTGTTATATCTCCACTGCTCTCTTGTTAATAAAATATGCTGCTGTCAGAACAATCAGTGAAATACACTGGAGTCCATTTCCAGCATCAATAATGTATCTGTTTTCATGCAGAACTACAGGAAGAGGAGGGCAGCCATCAGACTCATACTGTGGCTTTTAATCGATAAAGGATCGCTGATCACCATCCCTGATGTGAAAGTATCCATTCTATTAACGAGTGAACCTATTTATCATTAATGCAGTCGAAGCAGCAGCTTTGAACTTTGACCAGTGCGTAGTTTTACCTTTGACTGGATGAGTGTGTATGGACTGCAAAGTGCAAATAGAAGTAATAGTAGTGCTGCCACAAAGAATTTTGTGAAATGAATCAGATTAAAGATTTAAACATATTTTAGTGAGATCAGAATGACACCTGCTGTTTTTATAATAATTCCCATCCATCCGCTGATTGTTCCTCCAAAACACAGTCAAGCCACAAGTTTTATTTTTTCACAGAAGCACCTTGAGTTTAGGTATCTTAGTCTTTGGAATGGTTTTGTGGAAGGTTCAACTTTGGGTTGGACACCCATCTTGTGAGAGACAAGCCTTACCCAGTAGTGGGTCTAAGGGCAGCCATACTGAGTGACAATTGTCAAATGGGTTGTGTGGGACTGTAGACTGATTAATATTGCTGAGGACAAAGGTTTCACTGACGTTTACAAAGCAACTCAACACATTCTATCCAATCCATCAACTCTATGAAGAAAAATTGAGGGTTAAACTTGCATATTTTTATTCCCGTTTTTATTTCACTAATCCATTCGAGTCACTAATAAAAAAGAGAAACACAATCTTCTGTTATTTATCTGTCTGTTCCAGCAATATACAAGAAAAAGTTGGGTTTTAGGAATGGTAATTAATCATGATTCATCTACAGCTACTTTGTGATTAATCAAATTAAAAGCTTAAGTAATTTGAGAGGCTTAGAAATGACTGTTGATGCAGTTTTTCCCACAGCAGCCCATGTACGTGAAGTTTAAACACAGGCTGATGTCCACAGTGGCACAGTTAAAAACCCTGATGAATATGAATAGGTTGGAGTTAGTTCTAAAGGTCAACTGTAGACAGGATTAGTCCTTCCACTGTTTTTTTCCAGTGACCAACTGGTGACTGAAAAGGTGGAAAGACTTCTATTTTAAATTCAAATGCATTGTGATATAAAGATTCCACATGATGCGATTTTTACAGTGGTTGTTTTGGTTCTGCAAATGAGCAAGAGTAACCATCACCACTCTCCGAAAATGGTACATATAATATTTTCTGTATACAGTGGACCGCGTCTCGAGACAGGACTAGGTTAGCTCAAGTGACGCTGACATTTAAGGCATGCCTTGATGGTTAGCAAAAAACAATAATTGCAAGGAAAGCCAACCTTAAAACAACAAATTAACATTTTTGCAGGACAACTCATCCGACCCAGACCAGAACACCAGAGGAAACTTGGTCTGGAGGGAGAAAGAAGCTACACAGCCCACAGCTGTGATTATAGGTCTACTCAAAACAGCAGCAATCATCAAAGAAAGAAAGAAAGCCACTCATGTTTACTTTGAACAGTTTGACATTTGGTTCAAATGAGTGGGAATACGAAGAAATAAAAACATGGACTAAGAACGTGAGGCAAATCGTGATGAAAGTCAACTTTTCAGTAATGACACAAAACCCTCTCTCTATATGACAGAGCAAAGAGGCAACATCCTCTGTGTTGTGGAGTTTGGGCAAAGGCTGCAGTGATGACTTTAAAACACAGAACTGAAAAAGGCAGATTTTGAAGGACTGTGTCTGTCAGTGCTGGAAAAGAGCCAAAAGTCAACAATTACACAACAAACAGACCCAAACTGTGACACCAGACTCCTCAGTAGATTCAGTGTCAAACAGGAAGTATTCTTTAACCTATGATTCCAGTATCATACTCAAACTCACATTAACAACACAACTGCAACACATTGCCATTTTAATATTGTAAAATAGATACTAAACATAGAGCCTAAATGTGGCCTTCATTTCTGTTTAAAAAATATCAGCTCACATGCAGACAGCTCCAACTAATGTCTACTGTATATCACAATCTATTATAGATTTTATATAGTGCTGTATCTCTGAGTGCTTCATTTCCTCTGATTAGAGAGCCTCGGTTTAAAGTATGCCCGCTGACCTGCTGCACTTTAACAGAACAACAAAATGTGTTTCTATCAGTCACCAATAACATGTTTTTGACACAAAAGTAATAACTAAGAGATTATATATTTTTACTCATTTCTATAATCATACCAATTCATACCATCTTCTCTCTGTCTCCAGCACACAATGACAAACAAACACTGCACCACTTACAGTGTCAAAACTCAAACACTGTCTGCACACTCAGACTAATTAAAAGCATTTTTCTCGCAAACAAATGTGGCGTCACTGTGTATTTGCATACAGGGCAGGACAGGTCATTTGATCTCATGTGGTCACAGGAGAAGCATCCTGGATGCACTTTAATGTCATGTGTTAACAGCTGAACTTTTTGGCACACCCCTGGGTGACTAGGACGGATGTTAGTAACGGACATAAACGAGGCTGGTGAAACACAAAATCTGACTCACCTGCTTGTTTCTTTCATCAGTGATCCGTTGAATCTGAATCTTTTTTCTACCCATGATGCTTGAGAGTTGCAAAGTCAAATTTGGAGGATCAGTCACGGACCACCAGCGCCTCTTGGACAGACGAAGTGTATGCCACTGCTTTTTATTTCAGCCAAGAAACACTCACACTGTGATTTATAGGAGTGTAAGCGCACAGATGCATCTCTCTGCCCAAGTGTGGTGAGGCAAGGTGGTTGACTCCATTTACAGCAAGTGAAGAGTGGCTACTGCAGAGGTGTATGAGGTCAAGAAGGTCCTTAGTTCAGCGTTTGTTCACCAGGGGAAAATGTTTTTGCAGCCACTGTGGTAAGGAGGACAACACTTCTTTCCTGCAATAAAATATAAAGATGTACACCATGATCAGAAATGTGACTGAAACAGCAAGAAATATAATATATATACATTTATGTGACTTGTGTGAGACACATTATTTACTTAAAATAAGCCTTTATTGGTAAAGACTTGACCACTGGCATTTTTTTACTTTTCAGAGTAAAACACTGTATTACATTCAATGACATGGTAACTGTGTCACATGACCTGATTTCTTAAAATTCATTGTACTTTATACTTTTAAGTGTAAATTAATACCAAGTCTGAGACCAACAGACAGACATTTTTACACATGATTACACATTACACATGAGTTAGGGTCTCAAACATTTGTAGCATTCTATACCTACATAAAACTCAGACTTAAGGTGAGTCATCGCAATATGTAGAAGATAACCGTCAGCATCCCTGGACAAACTTAAGGTTTCAGTCCCTTAAGTGCCATTCAGAGGCACAGGGATATAATCAATGTCTTTCTGCGGAGGACAATGTGAGATGAGCTCTCCTTGAAAAGGAAACAAAAGTCGGTATGCACAACAGAATACTTTGAAAAGGGATAGCGTGAAAGGCAAATCAAGGTTACTTTGAAGGGCAATCTAACCTGCTTGTGTGTTTGATATGACTTCATTTTAAGATAGGTAGATGCTAACAGAATAATAAGTATAAAAGTTGCGAGAAAATGGCATTAGGAAAGAGCCTGTATCGATTCATCTTTTGTGCCTCATTGCTTCACTCCCTAATAAATAATTAATGATGAAGTACTATATATCCAAAATCCTTTGTTTTTAAATTTTTTTATTATTTTATTTATTTTATTTTTTTGAGTGAAGAAACATCTTTATTGTTCCTTCCTTAAACATACCTGATTCAAACCCAAAGCACAATTCTCAAACTTAAGAACTTTTACATAACGTGATAACCATTAGGCTCTGAAATCCATTAAAGTGAAGAGCAAAGGCAGTACATACAGAAGCACTGTACGATGCTGTCACAGAATGACTGTGAGTGGTGAGCTGTAAAGTAAATCACTTAAATGCTCATTAAGAAAAGAAAATTGCCGAGTAAATACAGACTATTTTCCATTCACTCCACCTTTGTTTCAAACGCTGTGAAAACAGAAATAGTCACATACAGGGCAATTAGAGAACAATAGGTCCGAAAATACTGCCTTTTCCACCATGAACTGATGTCAATATCATTGAGGTTGCGGACAAAAGACGAACATTACAGATTAGACAATGTGCTGAAAAACGTATTCATCTACATACATGTTGGTTTTTAACAAAAGCAACTTCTGTAGTTACGTGGGGTAAAGCTACATTTTTATGACAATAGAAACATGTTATCTTCTTTTACGTCACCTATTATAATTTCTTGTTCCTCTGGCCATATTTAATGTTCTTGAGCAATGGAAAAGACTATTAACGTATCTGCAACCACACCCTTTAGAAGTAAAACAAGACAATGGATGTAAATAAAGCCAACAATAAATTAAATCCAGTCTAGTTAATCTTTGGGAACGCCCTCAGAGATAAAAAAGATGAAAGAATGAAAACAGGTTTTGCCAATCCTTCACTTTTTTCTTTTTTTTTTTTACACACCTAAATCTTCACTGACTTCACAACTAAACTCTGTGCCCCTTCATAGTTGAGCTCCGAGTCAACTGTGTCAAGTCTGCTCTCCAGTCGGACCCTCCACATCCATGCTTTCCTGTGGGACTCTTATTGAGACCAGACTGAAAAATAAAACGAAAATGCCTTAAGTGCCATGGGGGTGCTCACATAAAACCACGTTTCGTCACATCAGAGTACAAGCAGCGTGGGAATCAAACAGAAGATACAATAAAAAACACTATAATAACTGTATACGTCATATACTACAATATTATACTATATACGTCATACAGTAGAATGCTGCATAAAAAGTCATAAAGATGCTACTTCTGATTGCAGATCAAAATAATCGCTGATCAGCAAAGGATGTCTGATGTAGAATATAGATTTTGTTTTAAAGTTTTAAGTGGTTGTATAAGACCAACCATTACATTTCAGGTATCCTATCTACCATAGTCTAAAATTATGTGGTTTGCACTGTGTTTAAGTGGAGATTGTGATGCTGTCTTTACAGCTGTAATAAGTCTGTTTATGAATCCCTCATTACTATACAAGACTATTCAGAGATTCCACTACATACATTTAGCAGTGACAGCCCCACAAATGCTTTAATATTAGCACCATTGCTACTAATGCCATTACTGTAGTACAATAAATAATAAACCACAAACCCGCTGAGCAGCACTTGGTTTATCAATAAACAATGTCAGGAGTTAATATAGCACATATATTTAACATCTCATAAGGCTTTAAGTGCTGAAGTCATTAGCAGTCTCTGCTGAAGCTGGCTAAATTTTGGTAATGGTCTGTGACAAACAAAACAAATGAGCTGCACCGGAATAGTGAAGCCAAATTTACCAACATAGATCAGTGAATTTAGCAATGTCTCCTACTATTTATTTTCTAAAAATCATCATGTTTTCTTTCCTCTACACTCAGAAACCAAGAAGAATACATTTTTAATTTAATGCTACCAACACTTGTCAGAGTATACATCTCTTTTTACCACATACAATTGGTGACAGAAATTGACAGGTAGGAACAGCAGAGGTGAGGGAACCGCAAGGGGGAGAGGAGGATGAAGGATGACCTGCCAATGCTGCTGGAAAACAAAATAACCAAGAAGAAACACTGTGGAAATTTCCAGCTAAAAAGTAATTTTAACAATCAGTTCTTCTGGGGTTTATACTAACTTTGCCACTGTCTACAATCAATATTATTTTTGATTAGGCTTGAACGCTGCTGCACTGAAATGCTCCTCCGCTGCAGCCTCTGTCTTCCCCGTCTGCCCTCTGCATGGTTGTCCCCTCATTACAGTAATTGACATGTTCATCCCTCCTCTCACCCCTGAAGGCGCTGATGGCTCAATTAGGTGCTGACCATAGGACTGATTGAACACTGAAATAATGAGGTCACTGCTTGGCTAAAACTGAGCCCTGAGCCCTCAGCCAAGCCAGGCTCACTGTGACAAACAAGTCACCAATAGAAGAAGACAGAAGAAAGGATTCAGAAATCAATCAGAGCAGCCTCATCGCTGGCAATCGTTGGAAGGCCGTGATGGCGTCAAATGGATGACTTTTGACCAGGTTTGCTTCATCATTTCAAGGGGCAAATATTTAGTCATTCAATTTAAAAAAACACAGCACATTATTTGAATCATCCAGGAGATGGTTAGACAACCCTTGAATATTCTTCAGAAAAAGGAAAGTGCAATCAAGTTACCTTTTGAAGTAGTGTAATTAGGAGCAGTGACCTTTAGAAGATTACTGGCCACGAGCAAATGAAAGAGGCCAAAACCCTGTAATAAATAATAGTCAGAACTTCAAACCTGTCTTGAGGAGGGGACTTAAAGACCTGAAGATAGGACTGACAATCAGTTTAGAGTTTGTTTATGGCTCAGTTGATGCAGAATGCTATTTACCATTGGCTTTACTTTGTTATTTTTTCAAGAAAAGACAATACGCCAAGAGGCACTAAACAGTAAGTTACATTTTATAAATAGTTATTGCCATTAGTTACTTTTAATAATTAGCATTTCAAAAGTACAGGTAAACAAATAATTGTTCATTATTTTTACTGACAGTGTTTTAATTATTCCAGTCGGTCAAGAAACAAACACATTAGTTTACTCTGACAGACATCCCAAAATAGATGTAAACACTCACAGTGAACTCACTTATCTGCTCAGAGTATGATTACTTTGTGACAAACAAAAGACTGGGAATCAGGTGTTAAACCTTAATTAAACAAAACCAAATAAACCAGACTGTTCCTGTGAAGCAGTTCAGGTCATCACAACAAGGTTAGGAGAAAAATGTTGTTAATTAGAAGGAGCTTTCTCAAGAGAATAGTGATGATAGAGTAAATAACAACATATCAATATATACGGTTTGTGAACCGCAACAAAACTAAAAACTAAAAAAGCAAATAAGCTGCAAGACATTTGACCATATGTGAAGTTCAAACGTCCCATGATGTTGTTCTCGACAATCTCAGATTTAAAATGCTGTCTTGAGGAAATGTGGCTGTGAACTTTGAAAAACCCCACAGTATAATTTTGTTCTGCTTGGCAACTGCTCACCGCCTTGTCAGCACAAAACCCTGCCCATAGGTACAGCCAGTTTCTTTCCATGTGTTTTCTTATACATTTTAATAAAACAGTTGCGTTTGTGGAAGGTTTTAAGCTGCTGAGCTTAAAGGACAGGCAAAGACAGGATTTCTGTATCTTTAACAATACAGTGTCAATCTGAGACAAGTCTAACCTTTGCATTAGGTGCTGAGAAACAGTGAGTTTTTGCTAAATCCAATACACAAGTCTTAGGTGACACACGCATACCGTGTCGTTGGTAGGAAACTGAGAGGCACTGCACTATGTACAAATACTGACATGAATAACCTCCACCTTGTGTGTAAAGGAGGGTGCTCAGTGGTAGATCACTCTGTCAAACTGGCCTACTTCTAAGGAGAGCAAATCTGCTATCAACCCTGGGATGTAATTTGCAAACAACTGGCTTTTAAATCAGTAGTACAATGTAAAAAAAAATTTTCATTGTTTATGTCAAGCATTTTCCTGAAAAGGGTGTTTTTTTTTTGTCACCGTAAGTAACAGCAAATTAGACCAAATTTAACATTCAGTAATTTTATCATTTACAGAGATACATAGACTTTGAAGTTGCCAGTTTATCAGTACATTGTTGGCGGTGTACCACTTCACAATATGGAGACAGCCATTACTACAGTACTCTTCCAAGCTGTAGCGTATTACTGCTATTCTCCATGACCTTGGAGGAAAAGATTTGACCAAAATTGAGGACTGGACATCCTAGAAAAAATAATAATGCTGTACCAACATATTCAACTCATGCAATAACACTCTAAAAGCC